AGATAGATAGATAGATAGATAGATAGATAGATAGATAGATAGATAGATAGATAGATAGATAGATTTGAAAATGGGAGAGAATATATGTAGCTCAGACTTGAATTATGGAGTCATTAGTGCCGTCTGAGCTTGGTTGTTTCCTTGCAGACATTTCATTACCTGACTAGGTAACATCACCAGTGCTAGTGAGTGTGGGGCTTGCTCCCTATTTATAAACAGTAGCTTGCCCTGCCTGTGTTGGTCAAGGTCTGGTTTTTCTCCTTGGTAGTTGAAAATGTATTAGAAAAATATATAAAAAGCAGAATGAAGAATAATTTGGCATCCTGTATTTCAATCTTGCTAATCTAACAAGTGTTAGGATAGATCCCTTTTTGCAATTGGCAATAAAATATCTTAGATAATGAACAAATATGCAATACTTGAAAATACATTTGAAGAACCCAGTATCTGTTAAGGAAATTCTGAAAAAGGAGTCTGCATTCACATGATGGCCACTGTATGTCTATTTAGTCTCCTCCTCCTTCTCCTCTCCCTCTCTCAGTCTGGACAGAAACTAGAAAGGTGCCTAGGTATGTTAGCAGAAGAGATAGGGAAAACACGATGGCCAGGAGACTTTCTTGAACTGTGTGGTCTGTATAGGCTGTCATTGGATCAAAACCCAGGACAACCCAGGCTGTAGAGGGCAACATCCAGCTGCTGGAGGGAAGGGGTGTGCCAGGCACTGTAGACTGTTGGAAATGAGTATATCACTACATTAGAATGAAGTGGGTTTAGGCTACAGCTTGGAAGGGCTTAAAATAACTCAGGACAGAAAGTAGTACTTTTGAACAGAGCTTCAAAACATACTGTAGGTAGAGAGTGTATTTGGTTTGCCTGGTGTGGGTGGAGAATAATCTCATGTGTTGCTTCACTGAAGAAATGGTGGGATAACATCAGATCTCAAGAAGGAAGGATATTAAGGGAAAAGAGAAACAGAATTTGAAATGCTCATACAAAACCAGCACCACCTATTACAGCACATACAGTATATAAACTTTTACTTAAATATGATATAGAGGAAGAACCAAAAAAAAGAAAAAAACTGTTTGACAAAATGGATGCACAATTTTAAAGAAACAGGTAAAACACAATGATGGGAACAACTACTATATGAATTAAATCTATAAAATTTAATAGTATACAACTCCATCAATAATACCTAAGATAGACATTAATAAATATTGGAAATGCCATGAAACAGAAGGAACATTTTACCACATGGTGGACATGTAAAAAAACTCAAAAGTACTGGAGAGACATCTAGAGTATAATGCAGAAAAACTTGGAATTTAAATTTGAAATGAAACCATAACTTTTTATTAGGTATAATTTTAGAAAAAATCAAGAAATATAATAATTTAATGAGATATATGTTTAGAACAGCAAGGGTAATTTTTACTCAATGTTGGAAGACAGATACAACTCCAACAATATCTGTTTGGGAATTTAAACCTGTAAAATAAGCAGCAGTGGCAAAACATTCTATATATGTAATAGAAGTTTAACCAAAATTAAGCAAGAATGATTCCCATACATGCAACACATTACACAGCATGGAAAATATAATCACTTACAGTATGGCTTCTAAGGGGGCCTAAATGTCTACACATATTGTAAATATGTACAGTATATATTAAATATATGTGTATGTATATATATATACACACACACAAACACACTACAATGGAGTTTAATATTAAATAATCCACTGGAGTTTAACACTTTTAACTTCTTGGGAGGCATGGTGAACTAAAGACATTTCCGGGATAACAAGCCAATGACCATGGCAAAGACAAAAGGACCAGTGAGTAGACCAGTTCTTCAGAATGTCTCTGGATAAGAAGAGGACAGAAGATCACCCACATTTGCTCCTGATGGCTGCTTCTCATGAGGAGATCACAGGACAGTGGTCTTCCATGGGTTTGAGCACTGGGAGGTTATGGGACCAGTCTTCTTCCTCACAACTGAAGTGGACCCTTTTAATGGACTCTAAGTTCAGAAGCCTCACTTTCTAATCACTTTCAGAAATTGCCTATTAACCATCTTAAGCTATCAGAGACCTTTGGAAAGACAAGTTTGAAAAGTCGCCGGGTGAGTTTAGATTCAACTCTGAATGAAAGAAAAATAATTACAAGCTTAAGAACTTAAAGAATTTGAAATAAACAGCAAAAACCTGAATAACTTTACCACCAATTTACGACCACTTATGACCTTCACGGTGTCCCTCAGTCATGTGATCGCTATTATAGTCAGTACACATTGTTCTGTGCCTGACCTTCCCCCCCCTTTTCCCCCCCTTGCAGAGCAGAGAGATTAGGGAAGAAAGGATTGCAAAAGAGTAAGCTGTTTGCTCTTCTACTGTAATGGAATGCGATAAAGACTTTGGAAGATGGGGGAAGAGATGCTGCCAAGGGATTGATCAGATAAAAGGGGGAGGCACTCGGAACTAAGTAATGGCAGAGAAAGAAACTTAGAAAGGACCTGCCCTAACTGATCAGGCAGTAAAAAGGGATGGCTGAAGATTTATACTTTCTGACATGCAAGATTCTGTTAATGTAGCTTGACAATACTGTAGAAGTAGCTCATCTGGTCATGTTTGCTGTCTGGTTTACCTAGGAGGGCTGACATCTACACATCAAAAGCAATGAGATCAGGTCAGCAGCCCAAGACTAGGAGTCACAGGTGTACTATCCAAACAGGTTACTCTCTTGAAATTCCTTCCTCTCCAATCTCTCTGCTGGGGGCGGGGGGAGAGAGGAAAATAAAGCCAATGATTTCTCTCTTTTGCCTGATCCTTTTCTACTGCTGGCATGATCATATTGCTTTCAATGGGTAGAAGAGGAAACAGCTTACACTCTTGTAATCCCTTCCTCTCCAGTCTCTCCACTCTTGGGGGGGGGGATTAGAAGCAGACAACTGAGTATTCCATAGGGCAGGGGAGTGGTTAGGAGGCAAACAAAAGCCAAAGGTGTGAAACTCTCTTGTCTCTTTCAGCTGGAAAGCACAGTTGTGGTCACATGATTTCTTACTTAGTGACCACTTCATTTAGTGGCAGAGTTGTCAGTCCCAATTAGGGTTATTAAGTGAGGACTACCTGTATCTAAATAATTCAAGGCTAATAATCTCTAATTACCATTTTATAAACATAAACATATACAACTATACATATTCTCTTCACTTGATCAAAGAAATATAATTCCTGTCCCACTACTAGGCACTCAACAGGATATAATATGCATTGCAGGTGAAATTATACATATCTGGCACTGAAGGAAAGAAAAAGTGATTTGTAGCATAGTTAACTATATATGGATGTGAGGGCGATCTGGCTGCGACATCTGTCACCCCATTGATCACCAGGGTTGATTCGGCTGATCTGGCTGGCTAGGTAGGTGTCCCCTTCCTCCCTCACCACTCCATGTGTGTCCCTCCTGAAGCTCCGCACTTGATGGAAGAGGATGACCATCCCAGATAGAAGGAGTGTACTGATCTTCGGTCAAGGGTATATGATAGCTGCGCTCCCCTGCTAGAACCTCCAAACTGAGACACTTGTTTGGAACAGTTCAAAACAGCTCTGTCTTTCCTAAGCTTCTGCTAGTGTTCTGTTCAAGTACATGATCCCAGGAAAAGATGCAGTTGTTTCAAGAATTGCTGACCAGTGTTACTTGATTGCCCTATACACTCTGAAACAGATTAAAAATGAATTTTAAGAATAATGAAATCAAAGAGAAACAAAGAAAGCAGTATTTGACATTGGGGTACATTCCCACATTTGTTTTCTTACCCTTGAAGTAATACATAGGAGATGAAAGAGACTAATGTTTCATTTGTTTTATTGAAAGATGGAAAGTAATATTTCATTTGTTTTATTGACAGAATCTATTATCAAAAGATTTCCAACTTAATATAATGTGTGAAATTGTGGGATGGAGTTCACCTAATCCTACTCTTCGGTTTTATACTCTATGTGTGCTTTTACTCCTTCGTATTGGTATAAGTTGTCAGATTCAGCCGGCATGGCATGGCATGGCAAAGCACTGCTCAGCTACACCTGGTCAATTTCACCACCCGGGCGCTAGCCGAGGAAAAGAGAAAGTGAAAACCGTGAACTGATTTCAGCCAGGTGGCAACGCTTAAGGCAAACCGCAAGCGGATACTTTGTATCAGCGCCAGCTGCCCTCAAGTGCTGCAGACAAAGGGGAGCGCAGTGGATCGGAAGGGAAGCAATCAACAAGTGATTGAGTACTCCCAGCTTTGCATGCAAACAGGAAAGCCCAAGAAAGGCAACAACAGCACAACCCATAGACGACAATCCGAAAGACAAAAGAACCAGACTGAATCTGCCATTTGGGTGAGGGGGGATTACTGCGGGTAATCTGTAACTAAGCAATGGGGCACAACGCGGGAACGGGGAAGCTCTAAAATACATTGTAAGATGTGCCAAGCCAACCCTGGCTTTGGCTGTACTTACTTATGTTACACTTGAGTAAACTTCCTTGCTCAACACACGTGTCATGAGAGTTTCTCTGAGACGAATGGGTAAACCTTACATAAGTGACTTCAGACCAAAAAGCCTTGACAGAGCAATTTTTATGTCATTGTTTCTCATGCTATAGATTAATGGATTCATCATAGGTGGAATAATGGAATACATTACTGTAATGGCAAAATCAAGGTGTGATGGTTTGTCAGATATGGGCCTCAGATAAGCAAAGCAACCAGTAAACAAAAAAATGGAGAAGACAATGAGGTGTGGTAGGCAAGTGGAGAAAGCCTTTTTTCTTCCTTGGACAGAAGGAATCCTCAGAACAGCAAGGAAGATTTCTACATAAGTAAGAACAATAAAGACAAAACAGCCAAATGCTATTGTAATGCTAAATACTACAACTCCAATTTCAGTTACATATAAATCTGAGCAGGCAATCTTAAGTAAATGTGGGATTTCACAATAAAACTGATTGATAATATTAGAGCAGAAAGGAGTAAGAAAAGTACCAGTGGTGTTTAATACAGCATTCAAAAGGCTGGCAACCCACACGCTGCCAACCATTATGGAGCAGGCCTTCCTGTTCATTATCATTTCATAATGTAAAGGACTGCAAATGGCAACATACCGATCATATGCCATGAGAGTAAGAAGAGAAATATCAGAGTCTACAAAGAATAGAAACAAAAGGACTTGAGTTACACATTCAGAATAAGAAATCTGCCGTGTGTTCATAAATGAATTGATAATGGACTTGGGAACAATGACTGAAACCGAACCAAAATTCTGCAGGGCTAAATTCATTAGGAAGAGGTACATTGGTGTGTGAAGGTGGGAGTCAAAAACAACTGCAGAGATAATCAGGAAGTTCCCAGTTAGTGTCATTAAATACAGGATCAGAAATACAGAGGCATACATAATCTGAAGTTCCCGAATCTTTGAGAATTCCAGGAGAAGAAATACAGACGTGCCATTATCCATTTTTTGGTCACAAGTATCACAACCTTAGAAGAAAAGAGAGCACTGTTAAAATATTTCCTGTTTATTTCTATTTGGAGAATTTTGAATAGCAAGTTATATAATTTCAGTGAAGATTAAATTAAATTTTGATCTCCCCAATTTAGATAAGCAGTTCTAAGTATAAGCATTACATCCATATCACTTCAATTTTCTTGTATTAATTTAAAGTTCAGGGTTGTGATGTCAGTTATAGCTCTTTAGCAAGCAACTGTGCTTTATGATCATAATCAAGATAATCAAAGCTAAGAGAAAAACTGTTTTAGTCATAGGAAATAAAGAAACTGCATATTTCTACATACTTTCTACATAAGTGAGATGGACTGGCAAGAGTTTAACTTAACAGTGAGAGAAAAGCTAAACAAATAGATATTATTATGGTTGGTCTCACAGTCTGCCAGATATCTAGACTGGATTTGGCATTTTTATTCACCTATCGAGTCCTTCCCAAGGACCTGGGATAGGTAGATGTTGCTGCTTGATGGTGTTAAAGGTCTCATCGCAGGATGAAAGCTGTTCCAAATAAAGTTCCCTTTTGCAATTGACTGATGGTGATTTTGTCACTGCCAATGGTCTTCAAGTGGTGCTCCAGATGTTCTGGGATTGCAGCCAAGGCACCTATATCTATTGATCTATCTTTGCTTTATTTTGCAATAGTCATTCTACTCCTGTTTACAGTTCTTTATATTTTGTGATTTTCTCCACTTCTGTCTCTTCTATTCTGCTGTCTCCAGGTATTGCAATGTCCATTATCCAGACTTTTTTTTGTTGTTGTTGGTCTTTATCAGCAGATGTTAAGTCTGGGGTGTATCATTATTATTAGAAGTAGCTTTGTATCTCTTGCTGGGAGTTTGTATTTGAATTGCCTCCTGCATAGACCAATGTTAAAATTTGTACATCTCATCCCATGCAATTCTTTTTCTGTCTGTCACATCAACAAGTATGTGTGTGTGTGTACACACACACATATATACACATATACAAACAAGGTAAATATGTAGATTTATACTTTTGCTATAATATATAGCAAATGTAAGAGAAGGAAAAAATAAGGACACATGAAGAAAAAGATAGATGGATAAACAGGTTAAGAATATGAAGGATGAAAAAAGACAAAATGGAGATCATTTCTTACTTTCCTCATTAATTTTCTTCTAATCTGATTTTAGGTCATTGGGTGTTCATGATCATCTGTTTGTTGAACTTCTTTTATTCTTTCCTGAGATGTTACCAATGAAAATTCTCCAGCTATTCCTGAAGAAAACATGAAGACATATGTGGGTTTATAAGGTCATTCCAAGAAACAAGAGAGAAGTGGTGAGGCATCTCTTCAGTGAACTGAGCACAGCTATAAGGCTGTTGGGCTTTTGAAAGATTAAACTTTGTTAAGTTCCTGTTATCATCATGAACAAATACATACCCCAATCAGTCTGCAGATTTTTCTCTTTCTTTTCAAGAGGAGAAAGGAAATATTGTAGTTTGCTTTTGCTTAGGAGAGGGGTTAATCCAATCATGGATTCTGTTTCAGATAAAAATTCCCAAAATTCCACATATTGGAATTTCTAATTCTTTTGCACATCCATACAAATAGCTTGTTGTCCTGCTTCAGGTTTCATTCATGTACACTCACATATGGTTGCTATGGCATTGTATCTGTTTTGGCTTTAAAGGTTTTTTTCTGTATCATGATAGCTTTATCAAGTCTTCTTTAGCTTCACAGAAACTTGATCAGCTCCCAGGAGTCATGCACAGCTCATGAGAATGACCTCTAAGGCCCTCTTCCCCCTTCCCTTTGTTTTTTATTTCCCTAGTTAACATGATAAACTAATAAGCACTACAATCCATATAATTCAGGAGATTGTTATGCCTTTTTGAAGCTTGTATACTAGATTAAATTGGAGATTTTTCAGATGGTGTTGAATTGAAAGTTACATATCTTTATTACATTTACTTTTATTTTTCATATGCCACAGGAACTATTGTTTAATGGCATGTAAGTTTGGAAAAAGGAAAATGAAGATAATTCTTTAAACTTCTGTATATTCTGAAACTCAGCCATCTCTTTAGCAGAATAATTTTCCAGTATGACATAATGCATGTTGTTTTAAAAAATAATTCCAAGTTGGACAGGCTGAGGCTAAAGGTGTGCCTATATTTTCAAAACATAAGAGATGGCCAAGACATCACTTTGCTTTTTTAAAAAAACCTGTAAATGCCCTGGTATTCTAATAGCAGGACTCTAGAACCACTGAGCTGTTACTAATGAGACTTCTCCAGCTATTCCTGAAGAAAACATAAAGGTATATGTGGGTTTATAAGGTCATTCTAAGAAGCAAGAGAGAAGTGGTGAGGCCTCTCTTCAGTGCACCAAGCACAGCTATAAGGCTGCTGGGTTTTTAAAAGATTAATTAAACTTTGTTAAGTTCCCTTCTTCTTCTTCTTCTTCTTCTTCTTCTTCTTCTTCTTCTTCTTCTTCTTCTTCTTCTTCTTCTTCTTCTTCTTCTTCTTCTTCTTCTTCTTCTTCTTCTTC